TTGCACTATTCAAGATAATAGTATATGTATTTCAAATAAAAAATATTCATGCCAGATGAATTGAGAATTCTGTTGCATTCTGTGTTGCCACTGGCTTCAGCCCTTCAGACAGTAAAGCCATTTCATAGAGTGTATCAATGAAAATTTTTTTTTTTCTTATTCATTCTATTATACAAGGAAGACAGACACAGTAGCATGAATTCTATGAGGTAGTGGAAGGGAGAACCTGTCAACTCATTAGCATAGTATTCTGCCATGTGTGGCTTAGCCTCTCAAGGGAATGTAGGTGCAGAAAGTGTGTTGACTCTTCAAAATTCTTGCAGTTCTTTGTCATTTTTGTGTGGATTTGGTCTTATATCCAAAACTTAGACAAAGACAATCTATCACTGTCAGAATTCCATGCTTACAAGATATTCTGACCAATCACTCACCATTCTGGTCCAGCCTCCACATTCTGTAACAAATTTTCATGAACACCATCAGAATCCATGAAATTAACAAAACTTCTCATTTGCCACTGTGTCTGATTAGAATTTTTCCCTTCACATTACTGTTGCATCCTTAAAGAAGTTTGCAAACAGACAAAGGAGGTACCCGAGTGAAAGGAATTGCAATACAGGCATAGATGAAAGAATACACTACTGAAAGATAGGGAATCTGTTAGCAAATTAGTAATTTCCAAAGCAAAGATATCTACCAACCATCCCACACGATCAGATGTGGCATAAGGCTGAATTTAATGTGGGGTATCCAAGCCCATAGACTCGGACAAAAATTCCCCATATAAAACAGGATCGGGCAGCTGTTTCCCCGAGATGAGAATCTGCCCTTCGACATAGCCTTGTCTGGAGATCCTCTCTGCCTGAAGGCAGAGAGTTTGATCAGCACAACTGGAGATGAATCTCCAACTCTAGACTAATTCCCAAAGCAAGCCCCCAGGTATATCGTGTACTTACTATATATATCTAGTGATATAGTCAATCCACATAGGCAATAGGAAGTGTGGGATATTCCATTACACAATTACATTGAGGACTATGAAGTAATCATAGACCTATTATGCCATTTTGTTATTCCATGAGAAAGGATTTTCAGCAAGACATTTTTTAATTTATTTTTCATTCACTTTAATTATACTACTTTTAGAAAAACTATTTGAATATGGCAACAAAAGAATGGATTAGTAAAAAAAATAAATCTGCTAAATCTTTCATCTTCTCAGCTACCATCTCGTAAAACAAAAAAAAAAAAAAAAATACTTATCCCTAGATATGGAAACCAAGATTAGATTTACCCATATAGATTAAAGAAAGGGATCAGTTCAAAATTTCCTAAAGATTAACCAAGATTGAGAGAAGCCTGAAGAAGGTTAAAGAGCATAACAACCAAAATATTTAGATAACAACAAAGATGAGGACATCAGTAATTAATTTCAAATCCAAATAAGGATCTATGATGTTATCCATCCTGACCTGGCATCTTGACTTTTGTATCCTTAAAGAAGGTTACAAACAGACAAAGGTGGTACTCGAGTGAAAGGAACAGCAACATGGGTATATATGAAAGAAAGAGAGGTTTATAGTAAAAGAGAATACACTACTGAAAGACAGGGAATCAGGTGGCAGGCTAGTAATTCCCAAAGCAAGCCCCCAGGTATGTCCTGTGCTTACTATATATATCTACTGATATAGTCAGTCCATGTAAGCGATAGGGAGTGTGGGGCATTCCATTACAACACCTCCACCTGAGCTAATTTTCCCATGAGATTTTGCTTAATGCCTCTTCTTTTTGGGGTCAGGACATAATTGTTTGACCTTTTCCTCTTCCTAGTACTTTTCTGTCTCACCAGCACAAAAATGACTTCAGGCACTTTTTCCACTATCTTTTCTATAAATATTTTTGTGGCAATTGTTCCAGTGAGTTCTCTTTAGTACCTTGACCACATGAATTTAAGGATACAACTAGATTGGTCATTAGGTCTCATCTTTTTACAGTTGAAATTCCATGTAAAATCTTCAAAACTTTAAATACAATGTCAGTTACCATCTTCTGTCATACTGAATTCTGTTATTTATCTTTTCTCCTCCCTGAAGACTTCTCATTGACTTTCATGGTTAGTAAACCCTTGCATCTTAGTGGCATTATCAATGTGCTTCAGGTGAAAGGATTAGAAAAAAAAAAATAATAAATCCTTGTTCAGTTCTAATATTTGTGATTAATTCTGTTCTTTACATATCAGAGAAAATGTAAAAGAAAACAGATTTATTCATGAAAGTGCATATTTACTTATCACAATGTTATCGTTAAATATAACCATGACCTTCTCATATGTAAAAGGCTTATATGACGCATTTGGCCATATTAAACAAAGAAGAAAAAAAAAAATCAAAAATTATTTTATTATTCATTAATAGCAGCATGGCCCGGTGTTGCTCGTGCTAGATTCAAAAATCGTACGACTCATACAACAATTGCTATCACTTAACTTAAAATATTTTTGCCCTTCCTTGCCTTTAAAGGAGTGCCCTTTGTTGTGCTGATGTTGCTACATGCCTTACTTCTTGCCTATCTCACACTGCAAATTTTTTCTAAGCTCTATACTAAACATTAAATCTGTTATGAAAAAAGAACTAAACAAAATGAACACAAAACGATCAGCTTTAAAAAAAGGACTCGTAACTGGAAAAACCGAATGAAAAAAAGAATGTTAACAACAAATACTTTTTCACACCCAACCCAGTTCTGCGGAATCAGAATCAACATTGAGTTTAAGCAAGCGATTGAGCCAATTGGAGTAAAGTGCCATGCAGATTTAAATTTCTCCCACTTGTGACAAATACAGCTATCGATTTTTTTTGCATGTTAGCATGCTAGTTAACATTCATGTCAGTCAGCTGTTAGCTCTCACGCTGGCCAATAGAATCTTCCTGCCTATTCGTGGCAGCCAGCTATAGGCTCTCACTCTGGCCAGTAGAAAATGGCCGCAAACTACATGAAAAGTGCCGTAGAAGCATGAAAAAATTTGATTATTTCCACTATCGATGGGAGTTGGGAAATGCAAAGTTGATCTTAACCTTCCTACTGACTTGGAACATGGGCATGTAAATTTTGGTACAAATCCGTCAAAAATTGTGGCCGTGCATTCGTTAAACACACACATCCTGCCTTTTATAGATAGAGATATCATATCCAAGTATTTTACAAAAAATTAGAGCCGATTACACAATATTTCAAGCTCATTTTAGGTTTATAGTTTGTAACCATGCTATGAGATGAGGTAACAAACCATAGATTTGTTTGTGGAATATCGTTACATAATTATAGTGAAATCATTAAGGTTTTTTGCCAAAAGCATTTTATTTTTGGTCATATATTAATTTAAAATATTCCTTTTTACAGGCTTTATTTTCAAAATGGAATAAGATCATTCTAAATTTCAGAATTTCACTATTGCGCATCAAAATGACTGGAAGAAAGCGATCTAAAAACAACACTGGAAAAGAGAGGTAACAAAGTGTAAATGAAGTAGCCCCAGTTTGTTCAACTTAGGAAACTTAGCATTGCAGCCAAAGTTTTCTAAAATGTTGCCAATAACAAAGGAGAAAATGAAAGATCTAAGAGACCTGACTGAATTGATGGCAATAAATTCAGCAAGTTATTATAGAAATTTTATTAGAAATTAGAAATAAACCAACAAACAAAACAATAGCAGTTTTGATGAACATGATAAAATAATGGACTACACCACCTAAATATCTAACAAATCGTAAATAGCATCAAAATTTATATTATTTTTTATTTAACTAAATACATAATTGTCAACAATGTTTCCGTAAAATTTGATATTTCCTGTAATAATTATTATTATTATTATTATTTTACTTAAGTATAGGATAGTCCTATATTTACAATTCCTTACGTCTAACCATGAAAAGAAATCTTGATCCAAACTGCCTAAAACCTTTAAGTGTGTATTGCCGCAAAATTATCAAATATTGATTTACAAACCCCTCCTCTGCTAAACATGACATATAATTTAGAATTTCACTGGAAACACTTTTCAGTTGTTCTTAAGTGATCTCATTTATTAACCAAACCTACAAAGACTGTCAGCGAAACGAGATCTATTGAATGAACAAAGGTTTTATAATATTTTCTCAGGAAAAAAAACTCTGTACATATTTATATCTATATTATTTACATTATTCGGACTATTGTCCTCATCTTTGTCGCCATATTTATCACAATGTTCCGGCCGTTGTGCGCTCCGGCCTTCTTCAGGTGGTTAGAATTTTGAACTGAACTGTGCCATGTCCCTCAAGGACACGTGGCACAGTGGATAAAGGCGTTGGTTAGATCCAGTGACAGGACCCAAAGACCCGGTTAAGGCAGTGGAGAACTTTCAGAGGGAAATTAGCAGGAGATAACTGATAACTGACATCCATCAAACATGGCATGTGGAACTAGAACAGCCTACCCCAGTGAGTGAAATAAAGGGTTCAGTTCAAAATTCCAACCACCTGAAGAAGGCCGGAGCGTACAACGGCCGAAACATTGTAATAAATATGGCGACAAAGATGAGGACAATAGTCTGAATAATGTACATAATACCTCATCTCAGAAATATAGACAGACTGATATTTATATCTTATTAAAAAAAAAAACAGGTTATTTTGAAATGAAACTGTCCCCAAATGTTACTGAGATTGCATATTAATTGATTGATTCATTTTCTATGGCTTATCAACCCTTTGCAGGTTATTTAAAACCAGAAAATATTTTTAGATTGTATGAGTTTTTCTTTTCTTTTGACATAATAATGATTTTGTGATACAAGTCTTACTAGTTAACCCATAGCTGGAGAGAGAAGAGGTGGATTAATACTTTTTGCAAAAGCATTTTGAGCATAAGTGAATATAACAAACCCAACAGGAATTAGAACTCAACTCTCTGATTAATAATTCTGAGGCCTTGTACATTAAACCACGCATACATCCAAGCTTACAGCACCTAGTATTTCCAAGTGGTCACCCATCTATGTTCTGACTAGGCTCGATGTTGCTTAACTTCAGTGATTGTACAGGAACCAATGTTTCAACATGATATGGCCATAATTCAAACTGTGTATAAAGAAATCAATTGATTATATGTAAAATTACATTACCTAGAAAATAGTGGCATTTTTTTTTTTTTTTTTTTTTTACAGAGATTTTAATGTTCAGATGACTGACTAATTTTTTTTATGGCTTATCAACCCTTTGTTAGTTATTTAAAGCCAAAACATCTTTTGAATTGTAGAAGGTTGCTTATAGTACCAATTACCCACCATCACCACATCTAAGTACTAATAATTTTTTTGAAAACTTTCATTTCCTCTCTATTCTATTTGTAAGTAGTAAGTCCCACGACAACAGCTTTTTTCTCCAAGAACTGCGACTTTGTGGAACGAACTCCCACTTGGAGACTTTCATGAACATTGCAATCTTAACCTCTTCAAGTCAAGGGTCAATCATTATCTATCCTCCTTATCCTCATAATCTTCACTTCCTATCACCTCCATTTTCATTCCTATCACACACCTCATTCATCATAACCATTTTAACAGTAACCCTCTACAATCTTAACCTCTTCAAGTCAAGGGTCAATAGTTATCTATCCACCTTATCTTCATAATCTTCACTTCCATCTTGTCATTCATCCATATCAATCGCCTCAATTGTCATAACCATGTTAACAGTATCCTCTACCTTAAGTGGCTCTCATGCCTGGTATTGTGTGAATTTTAGTATAAAAAAAAAAAAAAAGTTATATTTATGCCCAAAACAAACAGTACAAATTATGAAAAAGTGAATGTTATACCATTTTCTCAAGCTCTTCATTTAGAAATTGCTAATTTTCTTATTCTTTATTCTACAGGTTGTTGTTATTAACTGATGGATCTTTGATATTTTTCTTTGAGTTCAAATGGATGCAATGCTAGTTAAAATAAATTTGAGACATTTGTTGGTTCCAATCTGTTGGGAATGACTGAAAAATATCCTCCCTCCTCAAATTCATAGACAAATCCTACAGATGCATGCTGGGATTTCTTAGCCCATAAAAATGGACAATTCCTGGCCTTACTGTATCCCTTTTGCATATGAACACTGTTTCTTTTCTGCTGGCTTAATTGATTTATTTTCCCATTGTCTTATATCTGCCTTGTCTTACATTGTTCCTTTCTTTTATTATCTTGCTCTGTTCTTCTAATTTTCATTACTGCTGTTATTGGGAATTTTATCAACAGTACTTAAAAATGCCTGCTTATTCAACAGAATTAGTTCAACACTTAGTTAATAATTGATTCTTATCCAAATGGTTCAGCATTGGTTTAACAGGTTTCGGTAAGGATGAGATCATGGAATCAATCAATGCATGAAGCATTTCAAGAATGCATTGACTCAGAGATTTCATTTAGATTCTTTTTCTTTCCATCATCTTTGTTATTAAATATCCTCCACTGTAATAATAGATCTGCCAAGAATGGTGAAATGTTGTAAGAACCTGGATGTAAATTTACTGTCGATGAACAAGCGATGAAAGCACTTTCTAAGCATTTTTGTCTTAGCTGTTTTCTACTTTAATTAAAGTAGCATTTTTTACATCAATATTATGGCCAGTTTCATCATTGTGAACAGCTAATGAATTTTGTGTGTCTCGTTTCTTAAAATGTCTCTTTTGTGTTCACATAATCTTTATTTAAACTTCTTGAGGTTTCTCGAATATATTCTTTGCAGGTGATAGAGTAAATTTCTTCCTGCCAGTTTTGGCTTGTTGTTTTGTATACAAAACATAACCCAAAACACATTTAAAAGAAAAAAAAATTTTTCAAAGTTTAATATTCCCAGAATCTCTCATTCTTGCACGCATAGTCGCACTAACTAGGTCGTCTGATGAAGTCCTAAGGGTTGAAATGTGTGTCTCGTTTCTTAAAATGTCTCTTTTGTGTTCACATAATCTTTATTTAAACTTCTTGAGGTTTTCTCGAATATATTCTTTGCAGGTGATAGAGTAAATTTCTTCCTGCCAGTTTTTGGCTTGTTGTTTTGTATACAAAACATAACCCAAAACACATTTAAAAGAAAAAAAAAATTTTCAAAGTTTAATATTCCCAGAATCTCTCATTCTTGCACGCATAGTCGCACTAACTAGGTCGTCCGATGAAGTCCTAAGGGTTGAAATGCATCACAAAAAAAACTTTTCCACTATTTCATACATCTTTCCTCTGAAACTGTTCTTGATTTTATATATCAAATAGTTCTATATATATATATATATATATATATATATATATATATATATATATATATATATATATATATATATATATTATATATATATATATATATATATATATATATATATATATATATATATATATATATATATATATCTATCTCAAATAGTTCTATATATATATATATATATATATATATATATATATATATAAATAGTTCTATATATATATATATATATATATATATATATATATATATATATATATATATATATATATCTCAAATAGTTCTATATATATATATATATATATCTCAAATAGTTCTATATATATATATATATATATATATATATAAATATTCTATATATATATATATATATATATATATATATATATATCTCAAATAGTTCTATATATATATATATATATATATCTCAAATAGTTCTATATATATATATATATATATATATCTCAAATCTTCAAATATATTCTATATATATATATATATATTCTATAAATATATATATATATATATATATATATATATATATATCTCAATAGTTCTATATATATATATATATATATATATATATATATCTCAAATAGTTCTATATATATATCTCAAATAGTTTTATACTGGTTCTCCCTTACAATATCAACTATCTTGATAACGTCTTTTTTAATTGACAATATCAACTTTCTTGATAACGTCTTTTTTAATTGACAATATCAACTTTCTTGATAACGTCTTTTTTAATTGACAATATCAACTTTCTTGATAATCTCCCTTATAGATTGATTGCTTGCAGGTTATTTAGAAGATATTTTTAGATTGTAAGAATTTCTTTTTTTTTTAAGATAATAATGGCTTAGTAATACAAGTCTTACTAATTAACCCATAGCTGGGGGAAGAATAGGTGGAGTCATACTTTCCAAAGGTATTTTGCATGTAAGTGAATATAACAAACACAATGGGAATTGGAACTCAGCTCTCCAATTAACAAATCCCAAACATTATCCATTGCAAATCTATGTTTACAGCACCTGGTATTCCCTAGCAATCATCCATCTAGCTACTGGTTAGGCTTGATGTTGCTTAACTACAGTGAATGTACGGAAAACCAGTGTTTCAATGTGATGTGGCTGTAAGAAGATTCTACCTGAAGTTCTTGTACATGAACATTAGTAAAATATATATATATATATATAATAGACCAATAATTATTTAATATATTTTCTGTTTATATGTTATTTTTATAGATACAATTTATTGAAGTAAATTCTCTGTTTTTAATTAAACAGAATTAAACTTTGCTAACCAGATGCTTCTCTGTAGCGTCAGATCAAATCACAGTTTCTGTATAGGAATACAGGTTCAATTCTTGTTGGAGAATGGATATTTTCTACAAATTTTCTGAAACACACAGACTGGTAAATGTAATTAATACTGCTTAATTAAAAACAAAGCATTTACTTAAATAAATTGTATCTATGAAAATAACATAGAAACAGTTTGTTTTACAGCTTATCACCCTCAATGGGTTATTTAACGGTGGTAATAATTTTTTTTTTCCAAAAATCTATTCCTGGTAATATTTTTCTTCAAAAATCTATTGCAGGTTTTTCCAAAGAAATGTATTGCTGGTAATATTTGTTTCTAATAATTTCCCTTTAAAAATGTAGTTATGTCAATAATTTTTCCTTCACAAAAGCATTGCTGGTAAAAAAAAAAATTTTTTTCTCAAAAATATATTTCTAGTAATAATTTTTTTCCTCAAAAATGTATTGCTGGTATTAATACCTACTTTTACACCTCCACAGTGTTTTGACCACTGTTTGGGGGTCAACTATTTGCCCACAGCTGGGACCCCAATAGATGCTACCACCTCGGGTCAGAGTGGACCTGGGAACACTAGCAATTCAGTTGTGGTTCCTTGCTATTGGATGTAGTTTAATGCCTTACCCAGGACGTGGATGTATTTGGGTGGGAATCTTACCCCTCTGCAGAGGTGCAGTTAGTGTATTCTGAAGCCCCAGCCAACAGGACCAAGGTAGTGACCAGTCTTGACAGTGGTGATCATATTAGTGCTTAAATGTGATGTGGCTGTGAGCCTTGTGTCTAAGTTGCATATTCAGGTCAAATTTACGAGGAAACTGTCCAAAATTCAAGATTTTATTGTTAAAGTCCTTGAGAGCACCTGTAGTCATTATCAAGAAAGTTGATATTGTCAATTAAAAAAGACGTTATCAAGAAAGTTGATATTGTCAATTAAAAAAGACGTTATCAAGAAAGTTGATATTGTCAATTAAAAAAGACGTTATCAAGAAAGTTGATATTGTCAATTAAAAAAAGATCAAGAAAGTTGATATTGTCAATTAAAAAGATCAAAAGTTGATATTGTCAATTAAAAAAGACGTTATCAAGAAAGTTGATATTGTCAATTAAAAAAGACGTTATCAAGAAAGTTGATATTGTCAATTAAAAAAGACGTTATCAAGAAAGTTGATATTGTCAATTAAAAAAGACGTTATCAAGAAAGTTGATGATATTAAAAAGACGTTATCAATTAAAAAAGACGTTATCAAGAAAGTTGATATTGTCAATTAAAAAAGACGTTATCAAGAAAGTTGATATTGTCAATTAAAAAAGACGTTATCAAGAAAGTTGATATTGTCAATTAAAAAGACGTTATCAAAAATATTGAAAAAAGACGTTATCAAAATATTGTCAATTAAAAAAGACGTTATCAAGAAAGTTGATATTGTCAATTAAAAAAGACGTTATCAAGATAGTTGATATTGTCAATTAAAAAAGACGTTATCAAGATAGTTGATA